TACAAATCAGATCTGAATAATAGTGCAAGAGCTGTGTATGTCGAAGAGAAGAGGTAAGAGAAGAAGTCGAATCATTCACCCTTCTCTAACCCTATTTTATTAATCTCTAAAAATTAATGATGACAAGTATGCCCTTAAGTGGGCGGCCAACTTGGCAATTACATAAAGAAAATAAAACAAGAACAAATAACAAGCTCATTAAGTGAGCCCATCAACATAAAATAAAAGATAAAAAATAAAGGATATCACACAAGAGGCTGTTAGGGCCCATTCGGCCCAGTCTCTTTACAAATAAGAATAATGAACTTTGTAGGTCAAACAATATTTCATTTTAAAGCCATGAATAAAATGTGCTTTCTAGAATCAAGAATATGCTTATCACATCAACAACCCATAAAACCAATCCCCAAAATTCCAAAAATATAAAATAGAAAGAAACAAGTAATTCAAAAGAAGCATCAGTAATACTAAAAGCACATCGTTGTAAGAATAGGATAAAAGGCATACCCTTTACATTTTGGGCACAATATGTTTCTAGATAGAGAAAGTTTTTTAGATGTTCCATTATACAAGTCCTCCAAAGAAACCTTCAGGGTATGAACTACATCTTCACCTTGCTTTTGTCTTCTTCCCCTTGAGCTACCACCACCTACAACATTGGAATAATAAGAAAAGTAAATAAGGAACGGAAAATTATAACATAACTAAACCAAATAGAGAATTACAGACATGATATAAAAACAATAGTTTCACATCACTCACCACCAAAGAATGATTCAAATATATCAAAAGGATTGTGAGAGGCACCACCTACTCCCATTCCTTCCTTAAGAGCATCTTCACCATATTGGTCATATATATCTCTTTTCTCAGGATCACTAAGAACTTCATAAGCCTGAGCCAAGTCCTTGAACTGATTCCAGACAAAAAGATAGAAGTAAACAGTAAGAACCTAATTAGAAAAACCTCCTCAAGATTTAGAATGATACGTGTTTCAGGATCATATTTAAATCACATAAACACTTATATGTAGAATTTATTTTAAACTACATAATCAGTGATGCAACTAAAAACCTACAAAGAACAGAGGTCTCAACCCCTAGTCTAAACTCAACCATCTGAATAAAAAAATGTTTCTGTTAAAACTAAATTCATGATGCCACACATCTCTAACAAAGCTACTATTAAATTGGATAAAAAGAAGCTTAATACCATTAATATATTGAAACACTTTTTCCACATTAAGCTTAAAGAAAAGATATCTTCTAACAATAAAATTTCAGTGGTTCCTAGGTAAAGAGACATGGATGCACATGAACTAGGAACCTCAGCCCCATGTATATTTCAATTTGCCTGCTCTTTCTCTGAATCTAAGCAACAAGCCGTAATAGGGGGATGATCAGCAACTCACTCAAGTTACACCATCAGATAACTCCTATTTCCCCAAGCACAAGACATGAGAAGATTTCTCCCACTCTGGTTGACAAAAGCTAAAGTGATTTCTTCAATATCTAGGAGTAAAAATTCACTCCAACTGTGGTATTCAGATTTATCCTAGCTCTTAAATTGTATATTTGTATATATACCTAAAACAATCAGAGATAAAGCATTTAAAGATCCACTCAGCTGATAGCGAGATACATACCGTTAGGATAATAAGTGAAACATATTTTTTATTCAATGATGTAACTTAGTACCCATTCTAGCATTTTTTCTTTTTTTCACTGCATTGCATTGCATCCAAATCCATAAAATGTTAATAAGATAATTTGAGTAGGAGATTCTGGAACATTGGAATGGATTCTCTCTTCAGATGATGGTCCATGGACTTTCTGACACAGTATTAGAGAGGGGCAAGATCCTTGGCACCTTGTAATGGACACCAAGGGCAGCCACCTTCTTGCAGATAATCTAGAGGGAGTAGAAAGAAAGAGATCGGTTTAAGAAGGCATTGACCAGATATATATCTTTCTTCATTTCCTCTACTTTGTTTGTTATTTGATTATCTGTGGTTAATATTGTCTCCACTCCTTTCCTTTCTTCTTAAAGTAAGGAGTACACTTCATTTTCCATCCTTGATCTCGTTGCAAATATAAAAAAAAAGGTAATACGATATGATCAAAGCAATGCAACTTGACAGCATAATATATACCATCATTTTTTTATCAGCAACATCCATCCTGAGATGGAGAAGTGGAATAAAAGATCACCTTCTCAGGATCTCCACCCTTATCAGGGTGGTTCTTAATGGCAGCTTTTCTATATGCTTTCTTCAGTTCATCTTGACTTGCATTTTTGGAAACACCAAGAATCTCATAGTACTTAGTGTTGTCACTCTTTCTTGGAGCACAACTAAACATGATTGCAGCACTTTAGCGTCACTGCCCAAACACAAATGGAGTAAACTTAAGAATCTTGCTTTCCAAATACTGAGAACAGCCTGAACTTCACATGCCAAAAAGGTAGCACAGCGCAAAATCCAGTTAATAACTATAGCAGAACACGAGGGTCCCAGTGTTGAAACTTATTCCAAGAACGCAAACTCGAAGAATATATCAAGTTAATGATTTTAGAAACTGAGAAGGGTATTCGACAAACAGACGGAAATTACAGAATTACTAATTACCATGTAGAGATGTTCATAATAATCTACCGTCTTAAAACGTGAACATAAAGAAGATGACGGAAATAAAAAATAAGAAACACCGGATCCAAATCCATCCATTAAAAATGAAAAAATAATAAATAAAATGAAAAGGGTACGGAACAACCAACACTGGACTCAATTACTTGAGAACTTAACATGGGACTAATTCGCTTAACAGTATGAGCAAATTCTTACCAGAAACAAAAACCACAATTCATGAAAAACAAACAAAATGTCGTCAGATTTTTGGCGGAAAAAAAAAGTTGTATATAATTCCAAGTTAACTCGCAAGCAAATCCTTTTCCATCTAAAATATCCCCAAAAAAATTACAATCATCGGAGAACCAAGGAATCAAGATCACGGGTAGAGAGAGAGAGAGAGGGAGAGAGAGAAGGATGGTAAGGAAACTTACGAAGTTTTAGAGAAGAAGCGGGAAGGAATAACAGAAGAGAAGAGGAGAAAGAGAGAGCGAGGAAAAGCCTCGTCTCCCAAGCTCGTCTCCGAGGAGGAGTTTCCGCCTTAGTTGACGGTCTTCTTATAAAAGGGCAAAAACAGAAAATTAGCAAAATTATTATTTTTTAAATAAAAAAGGGAAAAAGTGTCTTTGTATGACGTTCAGGATGATCCGTCGTGGTGGATCCAACGGTATGCGGATCATCTAATGATCTCATCTTTCTTTTGGACGTACGTGTGACGTGTATCAGCAGTTGCGACTTACGAGGAATTCACATCTATCACCACTCACCACTGAATGTACGCAAAATGCATACCTAAGCGTTGATTGAGAGCATCTTCCGTACTGTTATTGGGCACGATTGGAATATCCTACGGAACGTTTTGTGAGCGCATTCATTGGGGGCAGATTTAAACTCACTGGGAGTTCTACGAGTGTGAAAGTTCTTTCTAGGGGTGAGCAAAAAACCGAAAATAGAACCGACGGAAAAAACTGATCAAAATCGAACTGAAAAAATGGTTAATTGAATCGGTCAGTTCAATTTAGGTTTGGTGTTTTAAAAAACTGAAGGTAGTTCGGTTTTGGTTAATTAATATAGAAAATCGGCGGTTAATTGAACTGACGGGTATATATATATTTTTATATATTTTATATATTTATGTATATCATATATATTATATATAAATTAAAAAATATGCATTATATATAAATATATACATTTATAATATATGATATATTATTTATTATTTAAAATATAATTTTTTATTATATATTTATATTTTTTTATAATATATATTGTAAAAATTAAAAAACCAAAAAATCGACGAACCGAACTGACGGTTAATCGATTGGTTTCGATTTGGTTTTGGTTACCAATTTTCCAAAAATCGGTAGTACTAGTTTGGTTACAAAAAAAGGCCCACGGTGAAAGAAGTGATGAAAGCAGGAGAACTATGATTTTTGCAGTTTCGTCAACTTGGTCCATAGGACATGTCATTTCAAATAATTCCGTTTTAGAATTTACAAAGCCCACCCTCACTATTGTGTTTTTTTTTTTGGAAAATTATTCTTTTTCCGCTTTGTTGTTTGATTGTCTTAATAGAAAATTAGAGAATGACTCTATAAGCATGGGCTAGTATTCTAATAATCTTTTATTTATATAGTCACATAAATTTTGTTTGACACCCATTTTTTATTTAAAATCAAGTTTTAACACTTTATATATATTTTTTTATTTAAAGTCAAGTTTTAACACCTTATCTATGTGGTATCATTTGAAATGAATTTTTGTTCTTTTAGTGGAGTCAACTAGCATTAACATTTTTTTAGAGTGAAGGTAACTATCATTAAGTTTTATATATCGATAATGACTTCTTGATGATTGTTTAAAATATGGTTTTTTTCTCTATGGTTATATAAGAGATACCTAATGGAGCTTTAAGGTAGCCTATAAATAGGCAACAATTGGTTTTTTATTCTACTTTATTTGCACCTGTCTTTTTGACATGTGTTGAACAACCCCATACTTTAAAGTGTCTGACACTTTGTATCTTACCAGTCCAATGCTTATATAGATCTTATGAACTAATTTAGTCGAAACCCGATTTAGTATGTATATTGCATTCTCTAATGTGTGTCCCCAAAATGATATAGGGTGGACGAGGAGTGATCAAACCATATCCAATAAAGTTTGATTCTCTTTAATACACCATTTAATTGTGGTGTAGCAAGAGGAGGCAGATGTGATATAAATCACATTGACCTTTAGGTAGTCCCCAAATTCGATAGAAAAACATTCACCTCCCCAATTTGATCAAAGGGCTTTAATTTGTCTCCACACTTGTTTCTAAACTTCATATCTAATTTTTTTTACTTTTCAAAATATTCAAATTTATATTTCATTAGGTACACTCACCCATACAAAGATTAGTCATTAATAAAACTTATAAAATACTAATGTGGATTGTGGGTCATTACATTTGATGGACCACATACATTTGTATGTATAACTCAAGTATGCTTATACTTCTTTCAAGTTTACTTGCAAATGGCTTTTTAATCATACTATTGAAATTTGAGCAAGCCTTCTTCTTGTTGTTAAGAAAGCCTTATATGGATCTTGTGAATTGTACTTCTTTCAAGTTTACTTGAGCAAGCCTTGTTCTTGTTTAAATTTGAGAATTGGGAAGGAGCAAGAGACTAAGAGTAAATGAGATGAGGGTATGGGAGAGCATAAGAATTGGAATTAATTTAATTAATCAAAATACCCTTAAAACTATGTGTTTTATAATTGTTGGGAGGGGTATTTTGGCCTTTCAAAAAGTTAATTATCACTTTACTAAAATGCCGCCCAAGCTAGTTGTTATATAGTTGTTAGGAGCATTATTGTCATCTTCCTTCCCCATAGCCAAAATACACAAACATCACCCCAAACTAGTTGTTTATAAGTATTGGGGGGTATTCATGTGACTCCCCCCCCCCCACCCCCAAAAAAAAGCAAAAAATAGTTGTCAGGGGTCCTTAATGACTATATCCTTAGCGGGTTGGAGCAACTCGTAGTGGGTTGTGTCATGCCAGTAGGTCATGTCATGTTAGCTTGCGAGCCTCGAAACCCAAACTCAACATGACCCAAGAGTATGGACCGACTTGTAGGTGCTACAACCCACTTACAGCTCAAGAGGTGAACTAATTCTCTTTTTGTATAGAAGTCTAAAAAAATCATTTCTCCTTGTCATGGAATGTTAGGTTTTTCTCTATTTTTGCCACATTTGCCTAGCTGCACACATGGAACATCGGTTGTGTTGTGGTCATCGATATTCTCAACATGCAGTAGGATGAGCGTTGCCAACAATGTTTTGTGGTAAGTATATTCAAATTCCTTAATATGCGAATTGGAATTGCTTTTTAACCTAGCTATTGATCTCATGTTAAGCACATTTTTTGGCTTTATAGGACTATAGCGGATGGTATTCCATTCCTTAAACCCTTAACCCCCAAACCTTAGTGGCAATGATATTTGAAGCTCAATAACTAAAAAAGAGAAGAAAAATTATTATTTTTTACTGTTTTACATGTAAAGACTATAAATATAGAAAAACTATGGTGAACCACTATTACTTCATTTTTCCCTTATAGATATTTAAAAAGAAGCCCATGCATCATAGGTTACTGCTAGTATATAATAGAAAGAGGAAATATAGGAGGTGAGGAGTCCTCTCACCACAAAGCTCACATGTATCTCCTCCCCTTTTTCCTTTCTCATAAATGTCCATATTTAATTTTAAATTAAGTCATAAATCATTAAAAATATAATAAATCAAAATTAAACCTCACATGGGTCTTCATTGTCTCTCATAAAATCCATATTTACTATCTAATAAGATCATTGTTAAATCTCTCTCTCTCTCTCTCTCACACACACACACACACACACACCTTAATAGTCGATGTTTGTAACATCTCCTCTCCCTATTAAATCCCTCTTTTCCTCTTAAATCTATTCATCCCTCTTGGCTCTCTGTAATAAAGTAGGGGTGTAAATTAGATGGATTGGGTTAGGTTAAGGACAAACTCTAAACATGAACCCCATCTTGGACCCAAACTAATGTGAAAAATCCAAATTCTCCCGCCTAGTACATGGGGTGAACCAATCTTTTTCTTATATAAAAGTTTAAAGAAACCATTTCTCCTTTCCATGGGTCATCGAGTTTTTTCTCTCTAATTCTTATTATTTTAGTGTAATTTGTGTCATGGATTGTTTTGGTTCAATAATAAAATACAATAAGAAAACACTTTAGCTTGGTTATTGATCTCAAGCTAAGCACATTTTTGGCTTTATAGGGCTATAGAACCGGGGGGTAGTGCTTCCCCTAAGCCCTTAATCCCCAACCCTAGTGGAAGTGGGATTTTATCCCAAGTCTATGCTACAACTAGCCAAAAAAGGAATAAATTTGAAGCTCAATAACTAAAAAATGAAAGAATTTTTTTTCTACTATTTGTATGTAAAGAACTATAAATATATAAAAACTTTGGTGAATCACTAATACTTCATTTTCCCTTTAAAATATATTTTTTGAACAACAACTCACAGGAAACTCTTATCATTTCTTAAACATGTGGTTATTTATTTTTAAAATAAATGATTAAAAACATAAAAAGTCAAAATAAAACCCTATTGAGTCTCAATTATTTTTTATAAGGTTGATTATTATTCTCTTCAATAAGATCATTCTTAACACACACACACACGCTCCAAAGGCACATACACACAAATACAATTCTCAACCCCTTTGCTCTCAACAAATTAGATGAGTTGGGTCAAGTCAAGGGCCAATCTATGACCAAGTATACATATAAACTTTATCCTAAACCCAAATTGATTCCAAAAACCTAAATTTTGCTCAGTTCTAAATATGGACTTTAGCCTAAGCCAAAATTGCCAACAAAAACCTAAAATTGCCAACGAAAATCATAAGTTCATGGAAACTTAACAATGTAGGCATTAGTGGGGTAGTCTAGAATAAATTTATGATCATGACGCCAAACTATAGCGGTCATGTCTTCCTAACCACCTTGGTTGATCGGTGTTCAATGAACATCGAAAAGATCAACTATTGAATCTAATCCTAGATTGGGAGGACGTTTTCTCGATGAGTGGCAACAGGTTCTACAATGCTTGGTAATAACGGTTTGGATGAATCACAAAGAATATCTTTGGAAGCCATGAAATGGACATGGGGCGTGAGACAGTACAAAGAAAGGTGAGAGACTAAAGAAAACAAACAACAAAAGAGATTTAAAAATAAGATAAATGGCAACTACAAGAAAGAGAAACCTGTTCTCATATCAACATAAAACCCTCTCCTGCATTATAATTTGGATTAGAAAAGGCCCCACATTATAACTTGGACTAGAAAAGGCATGGAGTGTACATCATGTGTGTGTATTTTTGCTGACATAGCATAGTTTGACCCATTTGACCGAATGGTTGAACCAATGACCAAGGGCAGAGCTAGGATTTTATATTTAGGGAGGCCAAAATCTAAGAAGAATTTAAATGACTATTA